CAGCCTCCTGCTCTCTTAGTTTCACCAACTCCTTACGGATATGTTTTTACTATTCTAAACAGTTGCTTTCTTCCCATCCTGAAAAATCTCTGCCTGAAATACTACCCTGTTTTGATACTATCAGTGAAGGAGTACTGTAATCCTTATGGGCAGATTCATTCATATTTTTTTATCACCCGGTGCGGAGCCCAGGACACCCGGAAAAGCCTTTGCTCTATTTTAAAATGACTTTCTTATTCCTCACCCCCATTTCCATGTTTTCTTCGCTATTTTCCCCGTGGATCTGACACTTCTAGATTAATAGAAGACAGTGACCTGTGATAAACCTATACTATTACGGAGTGCTTGGGCAGAAAGCATTACAGGACCTGAGCAAGAACTAAAAAATACAATAAACTATATAAAAATTCAGCTTCAGTGGACTCATTGCCATGAAAACAGAAACAAGTGAGCAGACACCTTGGCAAGGACTCAGTCATTTTCTGTACAGCATTCGTGGAAGCAGCCAAGGGTGGAAAGCTGTTGCAAAGTTATTTGGAATAGGGAAAATGGTAACTGAAGGGAGATGACACATTTGACATTCTGCATTCTGAAAAATCACCTGTGAGAGTGTACACTGGGTCTATTGGGCAGCAGTCTCCCAGGAACAGACCAGAGACCAGCAAGCTGTCTTCACACCACCTAGAAAACCTCTGCTGAAGTGCAGGCCACTCTGCACCTCTGGTATTGATGGGGACAAGATGAGAGATGAGGGAAGAAGGTGCTGGGCAGCAGAGCTGGGATCCAGGGGCGGCTCTGCACTGCAAGCATTCATTTTCCAGCTCACAACCTGAAACTGAAAGCATCACACCAGTGTGCTTCCAGCTCTCCAGAGCACACTTAAGAACAGAAATCTGTCTTCTCCATCAGGTCTGCTTGGATGTACCCTGGCTGGAGTACAATATACCTAGGACAGGGGGTAAGGAAGCCATTCAGGACTACACTGGAGAAACTTAGTCTCATGAACTTCCAGAAGCACAGAACAATCCATAGGAAATTTGCAGCCGTGTCACTGACCAGAGTCCAAAGACTATACACTTCCCCTTGACTGGTAATACTGATGAAACTTCAGAGCATCTGCCTCCTCACAGAGCCTTTACCTCTGCCCAATCCTTGGGAGTTGGAGATGCTGGAAGAGGCAGTGGAGGCAGCTTCCTTCTGTGCAATAGTAGCACAATCTTAGACCTTGAGGGCTTTTATCCCCGTGGGGAAAGCAAAGACTAAGCAGAACTGTACACTGGGGCTGCCTGTTTCTCCTCTTGTAAATTCAGCCACAAGTCCCACAGGGCAACAGGAAAAATCACATTCATTTCCACAGAGATTTTATCACCTCAGTCTTGGCATGGGAGAGGCATCTCCGCCCCAGCTGTGAGCAAGCAAGCACATTTTGCTGGCTTTTTTTATGTAATCAGAACAAATTCCTCAGAGATGAGTCATAGGGTTTCAGGGGTGTCCAGAGAGATGTCAAGTAGGACTCAAGTGTAAACCAGTGACACACCTTGCTGAGAGGATGCACGCTCACTAGGAGGCCTGTTTGCCCTGAGGACAACAGGCAAGGAAGGGACTCAATGGATGTCCCCAGGGAGACTTACAGGAGCCAGACACACACATGTGGCACTTCCAGACCCAGGACGCTGCTGGAGTTTACATTTCCTCTGAAAGACAGTGATGGTTTCAGGGTGGAGCTTCCCTGCAGCTGCTCTCCAGGCTTAAACACTGAAGATTCTTGGTCCTTCAGGCTGGGAATGACCTGGCAGTAAGGGAAAAGATCTGAACTTCAGAAACAGAGGTTCTGCCCCACCAAAGCCTGGTCAAACTTGGGTGTTCCTGCCTAGGATGTTCATCATGGTGAACTGCTGAATCCCATGTCAGTTGTTTCAGTGCTTTGATGTTTCTATGTTAAGCAAACCTGTTCTGTTCCCCTGCCCAGGATTCAGTACTTGAGCCTCCATGGGTCTGCCGGCCAGACAAAGCATAAGTAAGATACTTGAATAATTTCAAAGCATAGCCTGCTTTAGGAGCTCCTTTAGAGGTGGAAAGTCAAGGGCCAGGACGGAGGACGCAATCCCGGAGGTCCAAAGTAACACTGAGGAAAATGCTGTGGATGCTCTTGGGCCTTTGGGCATCAGAGCAGATGGAACAGACAAAAACCTTGGTAGAACTTGGCTCTGGGTCAGTCTCCTTTCAGCAATAGCAAGTTTTGGCACAAGGTACCAACGCAGGCCAGCCTTCTCATTTGCAAACCATGCAGAGGTCTCTTGAAGAGAAGGGTGTGCAGGGTGCTTCCAGTCTAGAGTGTGGCATATCTCCATTTGTGTGTTCTTTGAGAGCAACCACACACAACTATTATGCCCTTCACCTTTCAAATTCACCCTCAGGTGACTAACAGTTATCAGCTGCCATTAATATTAAATGGAAGAGAAAGAAATGCAATCCTCTCTCTGCTCTTCACATTCCACAATATCACAAACAATTTGTCATATTGGGAGGGGCAGAGGCAGGAGGAGCTTTAATTATTGATACGTGGGAACAGATGGCTTTTCTTGTACCGGGACAGCGAAAGGTAAGAGGAGCCTGTGGCTGAGGATGTGAGGATTAGATGGGCAGACACATATCACATAACCAGCCTTCAAGCGGAAGAGGAACCTTCCTCCTAGAACCAGCTCTGCTGGCCTGCAGAGCTCTCATCAACAGCCCCGGCTACAGAAACAGACCCCCTGACATCTGAATTAGTCAGGCTTCACCAGAACCTTTCAACACTCCCTCACCTCCATACAGCACATCCTGAACATGATGACTGACAGCTTCCAGACAGGAGAGGCCTGACAAACCAGGCACCAACTGGTCTCTCTACTGGTTGCATTTCACATGTTCATCTTCATCTACTGCCCTGTGCCATTCAAGATTTATTCCTGAAACCACATATGGTGTCCAAGAGTAACTCCATCCTTTATTCTGCTGGTTTGTACATCCCACTCAGGGTGCTGTCCTCCAGAGTCAAAGATCCAAGTGATGTGGACTGGCGACTTCAACCACGGACTCTGTCATCCAACTCCTTTTGCCAACTTTTCCCATTCATTCATGTAAGCATCAAAAGCAATAAGACTTCATCCTTGTCAACTCCAGCTTAGGTGTCCTTGAGTTCAGAGACACCTACCAGGTTGCAAAACAGGCTTGGCACAGGACACTTGATGTGAATGTCCCCATGCCCAAGAACAGACATCCTTATGAGACAGGAGGAACAACTAGGCAAAAGCGATTCTTCACCAAAGGCAGCTGATTCACCAGAGTAGATACTGTGGCTTCCACACAGGCAAAAGATTTTCCTGAAACTTTCATGAACAGTCTCTGTACCCACTGCTGGAGCCAGGCATCTGCATTCATTTTCACTCTGGTGTAGTGGTGTCTTTGCTGGAACCAGCTGTACTGACTCAGTTCTGGGCCTGGGTAGCCCAGGGTTCTGTCTCAGACAGTGGTTAAAAGCAGACGCCCAGGGAAGAGACAGAACTGGGCAAACAAATGGTGATACCTCCTCCACTACTGCAAGAATGACATTCCTCAGCTATTTTCCATTCAGGGATTTCACAAGCCAGACACCACTTCTGTAAGTAGTGTCTCAATTCACTTCTTCTCTCTGGACATACCTCTTAAATCCTGTAAATGGGCACTCACTTTCCCAGCCTGGACTGATTAAATCCATGGTTATTCCACTGAGCAAGGCAGACTTTCTGGCTACCTCCATAGGCCCAGAAGGTACCTCAGGACAAAAATGTTTGGTCCCTTTCTATATCTGGGACCTCCTCACAGTCTTTTCCCAGACTCAGTTTGTTCTCTTGGCCTTTGCTGAGAGGCTGTTCCAAAGCCTCATTACTCTGATCATTAGACATGTTCTTCTTATTTCTCAAGGTGACTAATCACTGATTTCTAATTCCTCTCAGTCTGCCTAGGGTCATGCAGCCTACAGCCTGTGAGAGTACTAAGACACGTACAATCTTGTGATGTGGAAAAACACAACTTTCCAGCTTCTCTCCTGGCCTGGATCAATGGCAAAGCGCTTGAGGTGAATAAATGCAAGGCGAACAACTGCAAGGAGACAGCTACTGACCATGAACAATACAATTTTCACAACATGGAGTAGGATGGAGAAAGTTTCCCTACCCAGGAGCCAGTGAAGAGGGAGTAGCAATCTTAGAAAGACCTGGCCAACATCTGTGCTGGGAAAGAATGAGCTCTATCAATAAAGCATCAAACTTTCCCACTGTAGAAGCTTTGACCAGTGTCCAAGTCTGCTCTGGTTTGGTACAGGAAATGAACAGACCTGAAAGAGCATCTTTATATTGCTGCATTATACCAGCTGTCCTGGGTTCAGCAGTAGCAGTCATTTTTCCTTTAAAAATGCTGTTCATCTTACTGTGATAGTACCAGAAAATCTGTCTAATGTTGAGCTGGCACTAAAGAACAGCCTCCTCAGAGCAGCGATGTGTTTGCACTAGCTAACTACTGCTGAAGAGTCAGCTGAGAACTAACATGCACGGGCTAATCTTACCTCCTCCACATTTCACAGGGGCTGAGGGGATCATCTAGTGAAAGAAGTCTATGGATTAGAGAGCAATACAAAGGATCAAAAAGCAGGAGGAGGCCACATCTTTTCACCCCCACAGCAGTACTGCTCCCTTTCACCCTAACTCAAGTTAACATTTATGTGAAACTTTTTCCTGCTGCTCGAAGAAGGAATCACATTATACACACATTCCAGAGAACTTTTCCCAGCAGAAACAACCATTTTTAACACACATTGCACTTGGGAGAATGTCTAGAATTTTACTAGCAAATGCATGGGTGGAGCTGAGTTTTGACCCATACAGGAAAGCTGGAAGTTGACATCACCATCCAAGTCAGGTTCTGGAGTTGGGGTGGTTAGAAGGCTTGGGAGGAAGATGTGCTTAGCAGGAGCTCCCTACCTCTTTGATGGCAGACATCTTGATGTTCTCATAGTAGTGCAGCGGTGCATTGGGTGAACTCATGTCATAGCCAAACCCAGCTACCGCCACCTCATCACAGTTGTGGAGCGCCATGGTTATTGCTACGCTTCCCAAGGTAGGGATGTTCTGAGAGGAGAGAAAGCAGGAATGGAAGTCATTAGCAGGTTGCCATTTCTAGAATCAAAGATTTCCTCTTATTGCCTCTGCTCACAGGGGCACTGCTGCTACTAAGCAGAAAATCAGGAACAGGGTATTTGGCTATATCTGCACATCAACTGCCTAATGCCACCTTGCAGGGTCAACAGCCTCCCACAATGGGTAAAGAAAATCATATTAACCACCTTATTGCAAAGCATCTAGTACAAAAGCAGCAGCTCTTGCTTGAGGCTCTATGACCTGACTCTCCAGGGGAGTATTGCAGGGCAGAGGGATTAATGTAAATGGTCAGACTTGCCTTCCACAACTTTGCTATTCTGAGAATGGGGCAACAAATGAGCTGGAGGATGAACCACAGTTAGTTTTCTGAAGTCAAAACAGATGTAGATACTAGATTACAATACGATGCACATCACTGGCTTCCAGCTAGGCCAGGGACGAATGCTTATCCCAAATGGACCACCACACAGGAGCAGAAGTGAGGAACAGTACAAACTCTCTATTTTACTCATAGCAAAAGCAGTTTAAGGAGGCCATTACACAGCTCTGGGAGGTGGAGAGAAGTCAGCAGTGTGCACTGAGACCCCTTCCTTTGCTCAAGGGCACACCAAAGGCAAAGGGCACTCCGGCCTGTGCCATACCGTTCCTCACCACAGCATACTGGGAAGATGAGAAGCAGTGGGAAGCCAGTTGGAGATGGGTAGTAGCACACTAAGCAGGGACATACCAAATGTCCTCCCTGTCTACTAAGCTGCCATTTGAACCAAAATCCAGCCTCAGCCCTTCCCATTTCATATGGCTTCTGCTGAGGCCCTCCAGCAGTGGTGCTGTACGGCTGCAGCTCCTCTTGTGCACTTAGATGAGTATGACCCCTGTGACAGACGTGTTTCCAATGTAAAACTCCAGCTCACAAACTTTTCTAGCTCCTCTTTAGCCAGATGAATCCAGAGGGAGCTTTATCCCAGGGGCTAAGGAGAGGCTGAGAAATCCACCCACACATCTTATCTTCATTTGTAGAGCACCCAACACTGGCTGTTACCAAAAGCATCACAAGTTCAGAGGACATGCTCAGTCAGCAAGGGTGACAGCCTCTTAGCTGAGATGTAGAAACCAACTGCACACTCACATTTTGCATTTAATATGGTTTACCCTGAACTAGCAAAAGCAATGCTATTGCATTTCACCTTGTGTTAGAGCCCAGTCTGTTAGAACATCACGTTTTGAGTTTCTGCCTCTCATTCAAAGGAGCTGGCTTTTGGCAACACACTACCTTGCTCACTTACCATTGCCTGACTGTTCCAAGACCAACATTTTCCAAGCAAAGAATGCCACCTATACCCTAGCTGAGAAGTGCAGAGCTGGGAGAAAAACTATGAACTCCGTAACAGTGAACAGTGCACTGGAATCACACGAATCAGAAAACAAATGTGCAACAACTTCTTATGACTAGATTAGCGAGACAGAAAATTCAAACATTTCAATTGTAATGGTGCATATCTGAAATTAAAAGACCTTAACTACATCCTCCTGTGTCAGCTCTGGATGTTAGGAAAGACAACAGATTCATTTTGTTCCTGCTGCTTAATTTCAGTTGATACTCAACAGAAACAATATCGGTTTTATTCTGGGCACTAGTTAATTGCTAGTTCACTGGTAGCCATAAAATATCATAAAATAGGGTTAAAAAAAAATGAAGAAAGTTTATTAGGCAAGGATAAGAAAATCTGCCCAAATTTCAAAACATGCCAGAACATCCTGTCTTCCAGGCACAGCAGTTCAAGTTCAGATATTCTCAGCTTTATGTTTTACATAGGAGGTGACATTCACATGTCACTGGAATTGCATCAGCTGGTAAGGGGACATGCCACAAAACCCTTTCCCTCAGCTGAGCTGTAGTTACAGTGTCCAAAACACAGTGAGTAAACGGTTATGTCCTTGAGAACGTGTCGTGCTGTCGGTGGGAATACGATGGTGTTAATGCCACCCACACTTGCACTGAGCCCATTCCCACGGTACAGCTCAGGGGAGACATAGGGTCTTTGCCTGGAGGGAATTTCACTGGCCGAGTTAACATTTAAGGGCTGACTTTCTAATGTGAGTCTTACAAACCACAGAGAATTAATCATACTACCCAACCTTACGGGAGGACTGCCAAACCACCATAACTTTCTTTCAGGCGTATCCTTATTTCTGTTTGGAGAATAACAGATTACAGAAATCACAAGTGAACTTTCCTTTGGTCACCAAATATCTGCCTCACTTTATTCTAGGCATAATACCTCCAATGGCTTTAATGGAAAAATAGGAGACAGTTTTCTCACCTGCTTCTGTTTTTCAGTAGTTCCTGACATGCAGTATCTCAGTAGTGCCTGCTCCTCTCTCAAAAATTATTAAAATACCAAAGGCTACCAAAGACGTCCTAACCCCCTGGATTGTAGTAGATGTATTAGGTTTGGCCCCTACAACTATCAGAAATGGTGTCCTTAGCAAAACAGTGTTGTCCTAAAATCCAGAAAATCATGATCTGATGGAAGGTTTTAATTAAACTATGCCTTAGTTTAATTAAAATTTGTGATGTCAGCACCCTCCAGTACTATGGTAGCTACAGCCTAGTGTGTGTGTGTGTGTCCTTGAAGACAAGAGATCTGAAGCCATTTACACGTTCACTGTTGAGATGCAGCCTCATGTTCCACTGCTGCAGCCAGAACCCTGGGGGGTAGAGAGGACCACCTTGAAAATACTGTAAAAATTATTATCCCTGCTATTCACTGAGGGCAGGAACTGCTTAGGGCAGCCTGAGGCTGGTGTGGATAACAGCACCTGCTAAGAGAACATGTGCACAAACTGTGTGTGTACCCACGTGCGCCTGGATCAAATACATGTAACTGGGTATTTGCTCCGGTTAAAGAAGCAGCAACCATCAGACAGATTAAACAGTAACTGAAGGGGAATCAGACAGACTTGAAAAAAAGAAGGAGCCAAGTTGAAAAAAGAGCCAGCTTGAACAGAAGTATAAAAGAAGCATGTCTCCTGGTTAATTAAATGTCATTACTGTAAGTCAATACAGTGCTTTGGTCCTGACTTGGTTTATACTATAGAAACTGAGCCCTTTTCTCCTATGACAGCCTGCTGAGCTTCTGCTACTCCTTCCCTCTGTTGAAAATGAAGCACCACGGGAAAGAAAAGGCCCTGTAGGATCTAGAGAAGTGTCCCTGGTTGTGCTGCACAGCAGCCAACTCAGCAGCACTCTGCAGGTCCGGGGGAAAGGGCTGTACTCTCCTCTAAGAAGTGGCAAATAAGAGGGGAGGTGCATCAGAGAGAGGAAATGGTTATAATTATCCTCTGGCTACATCTACACAGCTTCCAAGCTCTTCTCATTGTACACAGGCATATCAATTCATTTGCTGCTAAGCTCTAATTTGGACCTAATGAAGCATGTACAACCTTCAGGGCAAGGTGGGCAACAGGTCACTCCAAAAGAAATTAAGCATCATGGACATGGCTCTGCCAAACCCGGCTTGCTATGCCCTGCACAATGCGTCACTGCTATCTCACCACACACACCCTTGTGCCATGCCCCAAAGACATACCAAAGCAACCACCACACCTCTTGCATTATGAAAATAAAATTCAAACAACTGAGCAGCCCTCTTGTTATTCTAGGCCTTTGAACCAAAATCCTAACGTCCTGCCTCAGGAATCTGGGGGTGGACCAACTCAGAGCCTGTCTTCCTGATAACGGCTGTGTGCCTGGATATTCCTGTACTCTTGAGTAATGCTGCTTTCAACCACACAGTTGGAGAATGGCAGCCCGGCAGTGGCCATTCAGGAGGCAGAAGCCTCTTGGGATGCCTCTCAGCCTCACAAACACTTGTCAGTGCAGGCCAGGCCACAGAATGGGGCTTCTGGAGTTCCCAGCAGGAATGCTGCTCCAGATGTGGCCATGATGAGCTTCTGACCTTAACCGGTGCCCACCAACCAGGGAGAGTTGGGAATGGCAAGACCCCAGAAAGCACTGGCAGTCCTCTCCCCCTGCCAGTTCCCTGACACAAGCCTTGAACTTGTCCTTGCAAGCTCTGTACCTCCTGCTGTGTCTCACAGGTTTCTGGTCCAGCTAGGGGCCATGGTGGGTACCAGGTTCAGCATCTCCTCTCCAGCACTGATAAACAATTACAAGGGCAACATCCCTGAACAATGTGGCCTGAACTGACAGCCCATGTTTCCCAGCCTGGCCTGCCTGTCTAGGACCAAACATCTGGAAAATGTAATGTCTAATATAATGCTCTCCAGGGATCAGGCCTTTGTCTGGTCCCATTTGAGAGAACACAGCAGACTGACAGATGAGCCAGAGACGACACCAAAAGGCCATCTGACAAACAGAAGCAGCAAACACAGTGGTGGTGAGCAACACATCACTGCAGCAGTGCTGGGCAAAGGCTGCCTGTGCATCCGGAGCATGGCTCCTTCCAGGGGCCTGCTGCCACATGTCCTCCATGGATGAGGTGAGCACATGTGTGCTTGATCCTGGGTGAGAAAAGCATAAAGACAAGAGAGGCAAACATCTCTGGTCTTGAGCTGCATCGGGGATCACTGTAAGCTTTGCATTGGTGCAAACATGGTCAGTCTGCACTACCATGTCAGAGGACCAGAAATGCATTTAGCAGTACAGACAGACACAGGACAGGTTCTCTTTAACTGCTCCTTCACTGTTCTCTGCTGCAAGGGGAAAGATAAAAGGCTTCCCTTCAAGCCATTGCTGTTTCATCTTCCATTGTTCCCCTTGAAGAGGCTTTAAAGACTGACTTCTACTCAGAGAAGAAAAGAAGCCAGTTAGCAGAAATAACTGGCACCAGCCCCCCTCTGGACTTAATGGAAGCTGAGCATCACCTTTAAGTCTTGTACTGGAGATGGAGTGCTGGTGACTAAACCAGGGCACCGTAACTACTCTTTGCTTGGTGCATGTGAAAAGGTCTTGCTGCTTTTCATTCCATGCCCGGGTCATTTCTGTGTCACTGCCTGCTGGACTGGAAGGAAATGACTGCTGTAAATCTGTTTTCAGAAATATTTGACTCCCTTAATATGTTAAATGAATTCCAGTTATTTATGGGATTTTATTCAGCTCAGGGTCAGATATATTAGATTGTTCAGACTATCCCAACTGTTACCTTTTTCAACAAAAGGGTATTGCTAAAGAATAAGCTCCCTACAAACAATAATGCACCTGGTTTGACTACTATATTGACTTATTTGAGGGAAAACTGGAAAAAAATGCTTACCTGAGAAAAATGGCTGCCCTAATTTTATCAGTTACAGACCTGATCACCTAAGAGCAATGAAGTCTTCAAACCAAAAGAAATACAGAACAAAACTATAATAGTCATCACATGGTATATACAACAGCCACTGTATTTTGGTTTTGTTCATTTATGTTTGCATAGGAAAAACCTAAACCTACTCTTTGCTTCCTTCAGCTTTCAAGTTTGGAAATACGGCATAAAAAGCAATTTAGCATCACTTATTGTAGGCAGAAAAATGCCTGGAATTCTGCAGAGTGGTCCCAGTTACAGGAGTTACAATCCAAAGTGCTGCTTCCAGTTACTTCCATCCATGCACAAGATCAGCTGCAATACTGGGCTTTGAAAGACAAAGCAGAGCATCTCCAACACTTTTCCTTCACCTCCCCTAGTTACCCCACGTAAAATATCTTTGACCACATCTAAGCTGATGTGCTAGCTCTGATTCACCTTTGTTTGCTATAGAGCAGATTCCCGTGCAATGCGGGGAGTATTTCTTAGGGACCTAACAACAGAGGGCAAGCAAGGGCATGACTTTACTACATGCTAGCTGCTCTGTGGTAACCACATGTATGCTTCACCCCATGCTAAATGGGAGTTCACGGCCTACTCTTTCATTGAAGAGTAAACTCCCTTCAGCTACTCTGCATTTGTCACATGCAGAAGCACCTGGTTGAGCATTCACCAAGAAGCAGCTGGTGTAGATCTAACTGCTACCCTGTAATAGCTTGTCTGATTGTCCAATCCCCAGCAGATCATGGACTGATCACAGTGCAGTGGTAAAGGATTGGAAAGTGCAGCCCATGAAGCAGATGTACTGTCTTGCAAACCCAAAGCTTAACAGTGACACTAGTCTCTATATTTAACTGACTGCAGCTGCAGTGGCCCTTTACATGTCCCTCTGCCTGCCTTAGAAGATGCTGTCAGAGTGCAAAAAAAAGGACAAGCATGCAACTTGGAAGGATGGAGCGGCAGACTGCTCTGCTCCTGCCATCCCTACTTCTCTTCTGCTCCATAAAGAGCCAACAGGTCCCACGACATGGCCTTCATAACAGTCCAGCAGCAACAACCCAGGAGACAAAGCTTGCTGACACCAGGGCCACCCAGTACTAACAAGATAAAGGGTCATTACGACCAGCCAGTGGAGCTGAAAAACTCCCTCAGGAGCAAGGGGTCACCAGTAGCATATCCAGAAAGGCTGCCTGCCCACATGTAACAGCAAAGAGAAGCCATGGGGAAGGACATGCTAACACTCCAGCATCAGAGGTTAATCCCAGAATGTATGAGGGCTGTCAGCGCTCTGCAGAGGTGCTAATCCACGGCCAGGTGCCTGATGCAGCCTGCTAACACCTCTTGCATGTGGCTCCTCCTTCATCAAGTTGGTGCTGAGGCTGGGTGAGCTCCAGAGAAGGACATTTTATCTCTTTACTAAGGGGTCTATAGATTCAGTCATTCCTGGTACACAAACAAATCAAAGGCTTGCAGCTTTGGGCAGCAGAGCTTCATGTCATAAGAAGTTAAATCACAAGCAGTTCCATGGATGCACAGCAGGAAGACAGAAACAAACACCACAGTCTGCACTGGAGTCCTCAGAGTCCTGATAATTTGTGTAATCTGAAATGTTCTCCTGGCCACCTCACACTATGCTCAGGGCTCCCAGAGAAGCCAGAAACACACTGCTCCAATGGCTCCGAGTGCTACCAAGAGGACAGAACTATTTGCTACACAGCAAAAAGCACCACGGCAATCACCACCCCTACTGTTGGACATGCAACAGGCAATGATTCCCTGGAACTGATGGTCATGCTTGTCCCCCAGTAAACTGTCTGCAGTGTGAGCTAGGTTATTGCATGCCTGAATTACAAGCTGCAATACCAGTAATGTTTGGTTTAAAGGCCAAAAGACCCTTGTAAAGAGAACTTCCACCGTAACATAAATCGCATACATACACCTTTGGCTAGTGACACAGCCAAGCCTGCACCCACACCCACACCTTAAGAGCATTCTTTAATCAAAGAGAGGATCTTTACTAGCTCATTTCTTTCATAAGTCATCTTCAGGCATTAACATTCAATTTTCCCCAGATGTTGCTACTATCCTAAAGTTTTTCTTTATAATCAGCTTATCCCAAGAAAAGAGAAATGTAGCAGGAAACAGCTCTCCCTCTTCTTAAGACTTCAGTAAACCGACTGAGGAAACTCCTGAAAACTTTACTGGTCCCAGAGGGAACTCACTGTTCATTGTGGGTGACCAGTTTTGCTCCTTGCTCAGACTTCCAGCTACTAATGCCGTAAGTGCAACCAAAATGCAGATCTGAGTTGTACCCCCCTAGTAGCCTCCAGAACCATCTGGCCCAAATTATACTATCAAAGCAGAGGATGTTACTACATTCACCCTTTATTGAATCCTGGGAAAAACGCTTTGAGATCAGCCTCAAACTATTTTACCAGCTCTCCTCAACCTTGCTGAAAAAGCCCTCAAATTACAAAGTTAATTGGCAGCACATTGTTACCATATGTGGTGTGCAAGAGAAGCACTGAAGTTTATTTAGGCATCAGAACCAAAGACAAGTGGAATATTACTGCTCTTTATGAGGATTCTGTGTTAGCCCTGATTACTAAGGCATCCCCAGCCTTGATCCTCCTGTGTGTAGCCTGCCCAACATATCACAGCACACTGCAGCATGGAGGCACCAATCTGCCCCATCCCGGTTCCTCAGGAGAAACTGAGGACACATAATGTTCACTGTGCTTTTGCTTACTAGACTTCAACATTTTCCTTTTCCATGTTTATAGGCTTCCTTCTTGAGTAAAGCTCTCCAGGCTGTCCTGCATCTCTAAAGCACGACCTTGAACCCAGCCAGCTGCGGTCTCTAGCTTCTGAGTCACTCTGTGTCTTGTGGAGCAATTCTCACTCTAGCTGCCTCACTCATCTTGCTGGGTATCTCTCAGATCTTTAATGAGAATTGGATGCTTGGTTTACATGCTCTGATTTCCACTCTTCCCATTTAAACTCTTAGTGAGAAAAGGTCTGTAGCAAATTTGTATCACCAAGATACAATTCAGACTCCAGTAAAACTTGTTTTTAAACTGACAGAATCACTATATTAGAGTGTCCTTGCACAGACAGCACAGGGTATATTAACATCCTGGCCCACAGATGCACCTGCAGAGCTCCTGTTGCCCCATCTGAAGGAATGAACTACAATTTACACAATCTAGCAGGGGTCATGGGCAAAGATTGCTTGCCTTAAAGCTCCATAAACAATTTTTAAATGCTCAAATGGGCTTTCATGAAGTGAAACATCAGGTTTCAATTAAGATGCCTTCATTTCCCAATCTGATGTGTGTTAAACAACCTATCAAAACCTCATAAACTTCAGTTCATAGCATTTTCATTTCCGGATTCTCTCTCCTCCTCTCAGCTTAAGTAATATCTTCTGTATTGAAATAACGTGCTTAAAAATAAAAACAAATCTGGAGAAAATAAAGGCAAAAGTCTGATGATTTCTGTCCTTTACTGGGGCAGTGCTCCTGATTTTCTGGAAGACAAATTAAGACCACATCTTTCTAAGTGTAAGTTCTGGAGAATGCAGCGAGGTGAAGTAACTTACTTTCTACCTCATGGAAGTATTTAGAATAAGAAACCTTCAGTGCACAGAGGAAAAATGCAGTGCTTCTAAAACCCCGTGACATCTTTCATACGTACCTATGTAGCAACGCATTTCACTTAAGATCCGTTCTGTGTGGCTGAATCTGTCTGCACATCTTTTACATGGCGTTTTAAGAAGTGAATTTCCTATCTCCAGGCACCCACCCACCTGACCTGCACATAACAAACACCTCTAATATTTCTGAAGACTTCACATGAAAAACAAGGCACTATTCTGTCTGGTCCAAACCCCTGCTGTGACATGGCAAATCTCCCGTACTGGTGACAATGGAAGGACAACACCAGGGGCAGAGCAAGCAGACCTTGTCCAGCAAAAGTGCTTCTCTCTAGGTTTGTCAGCTGTGCTAATGTGCCCAAAAATGTCACGTGTAGTCTCTATCAACAACTATATCACATGTGTACATGAGTAATTTACCCGCCCAAGTAATACTTTCCTTAATGGTTGATATATTAGGTAGAGCAAATATAAATAGGTTCTGAGGACAGCACTGCAGGGTGAGATAATCCAGAAAACCCAGGTCACCATCTACTCCACACTAACACTCCAAAAAGCTACACTGGGGGCGAGAGATATGGGAATGACCATGAAGGTATTTTTGTTAATAGCGATAACCTAAGACTGTCTTTTGCACTGTTTTCTTTTGTGAACTTTTGCATCTAAAATTTGTCACTGTAAGATCAAAATTTCTTACCAAAGGCCTCATAAAACAAACCTTTACACGCTTTTATGATAAGCCTCAGATGCAACTTTACAGTTGCTTTCAAGACACTGCTGAAATATTGATGCTCCTGCACAGAATCCTCAGTGTTCCAAGGAAGGCTCTTGCCTTGGCCTCATGGAGGCTGAGCACTGCCACCATAACAGAGCCAAAGTCCTTTCCCTTCAATTCCCATCAGCAGAGGTCCAAAGGAACAGTAAGAACAGTGTAAGACTACTGCTGCTTGGTCTCCCATCTCTCCCCATGGTTTGCTTGCTTTGCTTTATACCTACCCCTCTGCCCATCAGGCCGTTGTTGAAAGGCAAACCAATGAAGCTGAAAGCTGCCTCCTGGATGAAGTAGGGATTCAGGATACGTATGTCATGAGGTTCTCTTGGGACACGGGTCGCCACTGACTTCCAAAAGCCATCAGAGGCACTCTGGTAACAGTAAAAAAAAAGAAAAAAAAAAAAAAAGGAAAGATAAACCAACAATTATATATTCTATATTAATTATAAAAATGAAAATGCACCACTGGCAGCAGTTCCCACTGTCCCTGCTCACTGCCACAAGCACTCATGAAAAGTTGTAGGGGAGCGGGTGCATCCTGGAGGGTTGACAGCAGCTTGTGCAGATGCACTTGAACTAGTCTGGATGACGTGCAAGGAAGACAGAGAGTCCTGGGCTTCAGGACTAATAACCCCCTCCCTGGTGCCATCTTTTCACTCTTAATTGGCACTTCAACTAGTCTGGATAATAGCTTAAGCATTCGCTGTCATCACTCCCACCTGCCTCCAAGGGGACGTACCCTTGGATAGCAAATGCTTTTAAGAACATTCAAAGAGCTAAAAATGACCATGCAGCTCTACTCATGCTTTAAACTTTATCCTAGATTTATCGTCTTCTGTCAGGTTTCATGTGAACTAAGATGTAAGCTGATAAACATGACGTCTTGTGAAGAGTCATGCATGTTCATGGTACAAGGGGAGAGAAGTTTTCACCCTGCACACTTGCGAGAACACTGTCCTGGAGTACTGCTGCCCTGCTAGACAGCCCTGCCTAGAGGGCAGCTCATGCCTCTCTGCCACATTGCTTTGTATCATTGCTCCCACTGGTACACATGTTACGGGTATAGCATGTACTGTCCTCAAAATAACTGGAGGCAGGACTTACAGATCAATTACATTCTAACATTTCATTTCTGTTTGGGTTAAAAATCCAGATCAAGACACAAGGAGGATGGCAGGAATTTTAATCTGCTAACCAACAGCTTTGGTAGGATAATCTGATTAAATAACTCCTTGCAGCACTGAGCCATCTTCCTTGTGAGCTCCATGGCAGGCATTACACTCTGCGTAAAAAGCATGTGCTTTGGAAGTCATTATTTACACCAGTTTTGGATTGCTTGCAGTTTAACAGTGACTTTATGGTTGCTTTCAAGGCACTGATGAAAATGTGAGGGATTCCCTGCAAAATCCTCAGGAGCCTCTCCTGTCCAGCAGTGCTTACCCCTGTAATTATCAACTGCAATTCTGCCACAGCCGATGCCTACTACATTTCACACACTACTTGCACAGTGCACTGCTCCCGTGGACTCTGATGCCACAAGGTGTAAAACACCTTACAGAAGCTTCTTTATGGAACAATCCCATGGTTATCTTTAGCTGCTGAATTTCAGATCATAAAGAACGGAACTTTAGTTGATGATTCGTGCTACAGTTAGCATTAACGCAGCAAACTTGAGCAGGATCTGCACTCTTCTCCAAACCAGGAGTCTAAGCAGACTGCCACTGCTATTCTGCCTTGATCCCACATACCCTCTTAAAGCTGCCCAAACATAATATACTTTGCTGACCAGAGCAAGGAACTTTTGAGTTCACATTTCAATGATAGCAAAGTGTTTTCAGGACCATAAATGGAAAAAAATCTGAATTAACACTCATGTTCCTTCATTATAATTGAATTAGAAAGAATGCCTGGTGTCAAGCAGTCCAACACCTTCCACGATAATATGACATTTTCAGCCACGGAATGATTCACCATTAAAAAAACCCAAAACCCATTACAATAAAATATCAACTTTATAACTGTTAATAAAATCCAACATCCATTTTGACAAAGGGATTTGAGGGATTCGGTATGTCAGCTGAGTTTTACCTCCTTGTGAAGATTCATTAAAAATTGGATAAATATTGAACCTTTGGAATTTCCTAAAGGCACACATAAAGCAGAGGCCCTGCAGTTCCAGGGAGGGAGGGGGAAAAAATAAATAATAAAAAATAAAATCCCAGATTCCACTTGCATTAAGCATGCTCCAGGTCTCACAGAGATGAAGATGATAAACAAAAATCTTGACCAGCTACTCGTTCAGTGAAACCATCTTATCATGGGTTTGAGCAGCAGGCACACCCTGGAAAAATAGTGTGTGACCCTGAAACTAAAATAAATTTATAAGTTCAATTACAATTTCACATGCAACTCTAAATATGGCATTGCCTAAATTCTGCAAACAATTCAAACTGAAGGTCTGCAAGCCATTTAAAGTAGACACAAGTCACCTTTTGTTTGGACTCACACTCTGTAGGAGATTCTACACAAGTAGGCAGTCTTATCGGCTTTTACGTTACACCCAAAACATTAAAGAGAAAAGAAGAAAGATTACAAACATTTGAGACTTTTATTCTTTGCTGTTGCTGGAGCTGTTCAGAAAAAGATAACTACACATATCATAGCTGCTCATTCTCCCAGTGCTGCATGAACCACTAGAACCATACCTGGGCTTCTCTCAGCTATTCAATGCCAGTGCAAAATAAATGTGGGCCCTATCCCTAGCTGGGAATACAACCTCTCTGCTCTGGTCCCTTCTGTATGGCTGTTTCTCCTGTAATTCTTCCAGACTATTTCTGTTAGCATTTTCCTCAGCTATCCCACTGCACTGAAATTGCTCTGGTTTCTCCCTTCTGCCTCATTTGTATTTGCTCTGTGTTCTTCCCTGTAACTTTTCTGTCGTTCCCCTGAGATTATTATTGAGGGACACCTGGGGTAGTATTTCATTTTGGTGTGCTTTCCCGCTCTAGTTTCTGAAACAATTGTAGGGGCAAATGTGGAGTCTCAGCAGACAGCTCTCACACTTCCACCTATACAGTAAGCAAAGCCCTGTGTAGGGCTAAAGAACTGAAAACTGTTTTCCTGGCTTGTAATTACTGCAATTCTCAGCTTTGTGGTTTGGCTCTCCAAACCCTGTTGTTTTGAGCTACATCTCAAACCTTGTGGTTTTGTTCTGCAGCTTGTCACTGGCAAGCTCTGAATCGCAGCACCACCACAACTGCAAACCCCAGGAGGCTGCTCCCCTGATGCAACCCCCTTGGGAGCCGCAGCATCGGGAGCACAGCCCCTTCCAAGGCTCCACGCTACTGCTGATGCTCGGCTGCCGCTGGTGTGGATGTTCAGTCTGATTGGACACAGATGTTCAGCGAGGTTTCCAAAGCAATTACTTCCCATCAGGGAACGCTGTCCCTTTTTAGGCTGGGAGGAGACAGGCAGCCACCCCAGGAGCAGCAGGCACTGGGAGAGGAGGCATGCTTTTCCTGCCAGATTCGGGAGCTCGGACTTGCTGTTCGAGGTTGGGGGCATTCCTTGTTCTCTGCTACAGTGACCAAGCCTGAAGTGCTTAAGGGTGGCCCCTGAGGATGTAATATCTCCCTTCCTGATTATCATAATGATAATAAGTCAGTAAATGAGTCTGAAAATTGCTTAGGCAACGTTCCCACACTACTTCATCATCTCCTGGCACCAAAGTGGAAACCATAGGGTCCAGGCTGGAAACTGTGTTGCCCTGGGTCAAGTTCCCACCTTCCTCATTTGTTGGTATTATTGTGCACCTGCAGCGTCAGTCACAAAGGTGACAGCATTCATGGTGCAAAGGGCTGCCAAAAAGGGCTGCCGTTATAACCATAAAGAAACAAGCAACAGAGAGAGAGAGGCAGAAAGGAAAACGTGACTGAAGAGAAAGTCTATGAAGGCCACAGCATTTTTAAGTAATCCTGGAGTGTTTTCAAAATTGGATAGTTGTAAAGGACATCACTAAAGGCTTTAGAAGAGACAATTTAAAAAGCAGAAAGAGTATGGATAGGCCAGGGCTTTCAAGGCAGTCTCCTGTACAGCTCTCATCCAGGGAGAGAGACAGAAATATCCCCTCCAGAAACACCACCCCAGGAATAAGTGAATACAGATACGACGGACTAGAGATGGCAGGTTATGAGGAGAGCTCACCTATGGCAGGGCTCACCTAATAGCTACAGGGACAAGAAAATCCAGCTTTAATCCCTCATTCTGACCATTTGCAGAATACCGAGTGTAACAGGGACAGTCAGTTGTAAACTATTTTTGTTTCCATTCAGTTTTCCATCTCTTGTTCTCAGATTTACCAAGGCAAAGGACAACATACACTAAAATAAAATGGGGAAATACAGAGACTTAGCCAAGAAGCTCACCTCAGTAGAAGATACAAACAGGCTGAGTCTCCCAGAATAAAAACATTTCTAATATACTAAGCAAAATGACGAGTAATGCCACTGCATCCTGACGACACAGATGCTGCCTCTTCCGTACCTGTCATACTACTGGATTTAGGAGTATAAGCAGCATTACTCTAGAAGACTTTTAAGTCTGACGGGAAGAGGACAGGAAGACTGCAAAGGTCAGCTATGTGCAACACAAAGCTGAATAAAGTCTGGGTATGGAATACTCTGCTGCAGAGCAACAAGAAAGATTAAGACTGGAGAGAGAACCTGTGGTAAGTGGACAGTATTGCTTTTCAACTCTGGTAAAACCAGAAATGGAGAGGAAAAAGGGCATGATGGAAAGAAAAAGGCAGGGGATGATGTACAGTCACAAGACCTCACTGTGCCTGGGAGCACTGCCTGGGTGTTCACTGGGATCTCTGCCCCCACCCTGACTGGAATGTGGTTTATTCTATACCTGCCACCCACAAGCACTCACTGTCACACAACCACAGGGTACAGAAGAACCTCTGCAATCCATCTGCAGAGGTTTTTGAAAGGTTTCTGCTCAGGCGTAACTGGATTAGATGTGGAAGATGTATTTCCACTAGAGAATAACCATCTTATCAGCCAACGCTGCATTTCTCAGCGGTCAAGTAGACACGGAGGCCTAGAAAATGCTCTTCTACAAGTGGTAATATAAATGAAGTTGCATCATTTGCACCGATTATCAAAGCAACAAGGAATTTTTAGCAACAAGAACAGAGGTGCTGAGAGCCTGCAGTCTGGGTTGATGGTCCACTGCCAGACCAAATAGCCCCCACTTATATATATTTACCCAACTTTCTCAAAGTGATGGAGAACCCCTTACCACCACCCTCTGTACACGGCTCCAATGGCCAGCACTTGTTCTGAATGTTCCTATCTTCAGTTTCTAG